CTAAGTATACAGTTTCTATTCTTGGTACTGGAGGGAGACATGGTGAAAGAGACTGAGTCTGCTGTCAGTTACTGTCTAGTAAGGATATGCACACACATAGCTGTGATGAATGAGAGAAAGTTACATCCCACAGAGAGGAACAGAAAATGGGCTAGGATCTCTGTAACTGTGTTCCACAGACCAGCGCATGGGATGACCCTGGCGCTTGTTAGAAATGCAGATTCTCAGGCCCCACCCCCGCCCCACTCATTCAGACTGTAGATTAAAATGTTTTTTAATTGAGATATAATTTACCTCTAACATTCTATTAGTTTCTGGTGTACAACATAATTTTTCAATAGTTGTTGTATGTCTTTCCTTTTCCTTTTTTATCCTCACCCGAGGATATGTTTATTGGTTTTAGAGAGAGAAGGGGGGAGAGAGAGAGAAAGGGGGGGAGAGAGAGAGAGAGGGAGAGAGGAGAGAGATGTGAGAGTGAAACCCATCAGTTGCTCCCATTTGCACCCAATGGGATGAAACACGCATCCTTTTGGTGGACAGGACGACACTCCAACCAACGGAGCCACCCGCCAGGGCGGATTTCCTTCCTTTTTAAGGCTGAATACTACTCCGATGCGTGTGTATAGGACACTTCGTTTACCCATTCATCTGTCCTGGACAGTCGGGTTGCTTCCATTTTGTGGCTTTTGTGAATAGGGCTGCTATGAACAGGGTAGGGCTATTTTTAATTTAAAGTTTTTCTTTTTACTTATTTTTCTTAACACTTCAGTGTCCAGTACTAATATTACTAGACACTAGTAGAGGTACTATTGGTGATATTTGAAATTTTGGCATTTAAAATTTCCTTGGGGGATGTGTAGGCTCAGGCTGGCAGAGGTTAGAATGGGGACCTGGAGGCATTGCTCTGTGTAACTTAAGAAATACTGGAAAGACCTGCCGAAGGGAGAGTGAGGCAGTGACTGGGCAGGACTTGTTTGTATTGGCAGAGCTTTGTTGGGATGGAACAAAGCTGGATTCCAGCCAGTTGTGGTTCTGCCAACGAGGCATTGCTCTATGTAACTTAAGAAATACTGGAGGAGAGTGAGGCAGTGACTGGGCAGGATTTATTTGTATTGGCAGAGCTTTGTTGGGATAGAACAAAGCTGGATTCCAGCCAGTTGTGGTTCTGCCAACAGCTTTGTCCCCTGACTTTCTCTTAAATTCTGGGTTTGGAGTCCAGATACCTGGGCCGATGTGTGGTTCTCTTGTCATTAAAACTGAGTTCTGGACACACGAGGTGGTGTATCTGCACCTGCCTTAGGTGAAGGGGTTGGGTTCTCAAACCACATGCCCCCCGTAAGTAGCATGAGAACTGGTGGAGGCCTAGACTTGTCCAGTGAATTTGAAAAGGATTGCGTTTATTTAAGGAAGGAAAATTTTTCTCACGTTTTGAAATTGTCTTTTTTAAATTTGTCTCATGTTGTTGAATTTATTAAGATTGTAGTAAGGTACCCATAAAATTGACCGTTGCAACCACTTTGAAGTAGCATGAAGTGCATTTGCATTGTGCACCCTCCAGAATGTTTTCATGTCATGAAACTGAAACTCCACCCATTCAACAAGCCCTCCCCATTTCACACTCCTCCCAGCCCCCAGCAACCACTGTTCTGCTTCCAGTGGCTATAAGTTTGACCTCACATGAGTGGAACCATCTGATGTTTGTTTTTGTGACTGGCTTATTTCACTTAGTTATGTCCTCAAGATTCACTCATGTAGCATATGACAGCGTGGCTATAAGTTTGACCTCAGATGAGTGGAACCATCCGATGTTTGTTTTTGTGACTGGCTTATTTCACTTAGCGTTATGTCCTCAAGATTCACTCATGTAGCATATGACAGCATTTCCTTCTTTTAAAAAAATTAGTTGATGCTGCTCTGCAATTATTCAGATACTTAAGTACCTCTAAGTATACAGTTTCTATTCTTGGTACTGGAGGGAGACATGGTGAAAGAGACTGAGTCTGCTGTCAGTTACTGTCTAGTAAGGATATGCACACACATAGCTATGATGAATGAGAGAAAGTTACATCCCACAGAGAGGAACAGAAAATGGGCTAGGATCACTGTAACTGTGTTCCACAGACCAGCGCATGGAATGACCCTGGCGCTTGTTAGAAATGCAGATTCTCAGGCCCCACCCCCGCTCCACTCATTCAGACTGCAGATTAAAATGTTTTTTAATTGAGATATAATTTACCTCTAACATTCTATTAGTTTCTGGTGTACAACATAATTTTTCAATAGTTGTTGTATGTCTTTCCTTTTCCTTTTTTATCCTCACCCGAGGATATGTTTATTGGTTTTAGAGAGAGAAGGGGGGAGAGAGAGAGAAAGGGGGGGAGAGAGAGAGAGAGGGAGAGAGGAGAGAGATGTGAGAGTGAAACCCATCAGTTGCTCCCATTTGCACCCAATGGGATGAAACACGCATCCTTTTGGTGGACAGGACGACACTCCAACCAACGGAGCCACCCGCCAGGGCGGATTTCCTTCCTTTTTAAGGCTGAATACTACTCCGATGCGTGTGTATAGGACACTTCGTTTACCCATTCATCTGTCCTGGACAGTCGGGTTGCTTCCATTTTGTGGCTTTTGTGAATAGGGCTGCTATGAACAGGGTAGGGCTATTTTTAATTTAAAGTTTTTCTTTTTACTTATTTTTCTTAACACTTCAGTGTCCAGTACTAATATTACTAGACACTAGTAGAGGTACTATTGGTGATATTTGAAATTTTGGCATTTAAAATTTCCTTGGGGGATGTGTGTTGAAATATTTTAGGGTGATGTCTGTGAAGTACTTTGAACATACGTGGATTAGGTTGGCTCATATTAAATCACTGTTTTCCTAGGTCAAAAACAGACAAATATCAGCAAGTGCCTATGGTTCAAGCTATTTGTTGAAAGAGAGAGAAAGCAAATGTGGTGACAAATGGGGGTTCCATGTGAAGAATACGCAGTGTTTGTACTAGTCTTTCCCCTTTCTCTGTGTTTGAACTTCCTCAAAATCAGGAGTTGGGAACAGATAGGTAGTCGGCATACGAAAATGAACTCTCAGCAGAACTCTCAGTGTTTGTGAGGGTAAGTGTGCTGACCACATTCTCGCTGGGAGTAATTGCCTAAAATAGCATTTACATGCCCTTGGAATTCTAAAACTCTACAGTTGACTGAGAATATAGAGAAGAAGGAAAGCTATTTCATTGTGTGAATTTTCTGAATCAGCATAGGAAAAAGAACAAAAAAATAAAGAACTATATAGATGGGAATTAAGAGGAGCCTAGTAATACCTTACGGAGTCTTTTCCATGGTTGCCATTTAAAGACAGATCCATGGTAAGAGAAAAATAGATAATCGGTTTCTCCGAAACCAATGCTATTTTCTCACTTTTTGTCAAGAGATCAAAAATGGCTTCTCTCTATGTGTGGTCCTGACAGTCTCTGTAAGAAAGGATATATCTCTAGGATTTGAAGACGTCTTAGCCCCATCCCCCTTCCCTTGTTGCCTAAGGTATGAGCCAAAGCACATTTTGCTCAGGGTTACTGGGGTCTACTGGGCAACCAAGGCAGATGGATAAAGTTATGAGATGCTAATTCCTACTCCGCTTTGGAAAATTTCCCTGTGATTATAACAATCTCTGGTTTTATTTTTTTTTTCTGTTTTGAATCCAAAACAGATCCCTAAAGAAGTGGCTGACATCTTTAACGCCCCTAGTGATGATGAAGACTTTGTCGGTTTCGGAGATGACGTTCCCATGGAAACCCTCTCATCCGAGGAGAGCTGCCCAAACAGATCCCTAAAGAAGTGGCTGACATCTTTAACGCCCCTAGTGATGATGAAGACTTTGTCGGTTTCGGAGATGACGTTCCCATGGAAACCCTCTCATCTGAGGAGAGCTGCGATAGTTTTGACTCACTGGAGTCAGGGAAACAGGTACAGATGCTTCCTTTCAAGGCAGGCGTGTTGGGCCGGAAGCCTGGATCTTGGTTCAAGTATCCTTTTCTCTGACCATGGTCTGAGGTTGGTGATGTCAGTTCATTGCCCAGCATTTTATTTCGTAAGCATCAGGCCTTCATGTTTCAAGAAACTGGTGAGAGTACCTCGCTCACTTTTGCTGTTTAAATCCTTTTGTACAGTAATTTTTTTTTAAATAAAGGGGGCCTCACATGATCAGATCCATTTCCTCGGGGGCAATTGCGTCCCTGTCCCCACGGCGTGGTTCTGTCCGCACCTCCCTCTTGGAATTGCTGGGAGAGCATTTTCCTTTCTGTAATCACTTTTGATCTGTGGCACACGTACGTTACAGTTTTCTGAGGGTGAGGTTCCTGGAGGTTTATGTTGTGCCTGAGCAATTGCACGGCCCCCCCAAAAGATCTAGCCTTTTCTCCCAGGGTCATTGTGGCGCTCAAAAGTCCTCCTCCTCCCTCGACCATGTGGTCTCTCGTTAAAGGCTGTAAATTAAACCCACCTTGCTTCAACTGGGCAAGTACTGGAAGGGAAGCAGTTCATTCCTCGGCTGGCCTTGGTGGGCACTGTTCTTTCCTAGGACATGGGTTCCCTCTCTGTGGGCCTCACCTTACTTGTCTCCACAGCCTTGACCCCACCAGCCCCGTTTCCACTCCCCTGTTCTCTTCCTCTCAGTTGCACCTCTTGTTCTTCGTTGTCATCTCTCCTGTGTTTCCTGTCCCCGGATCAAAAATGGCTTCTCTCTATGTGTGGTCCTGACAGTCTCTGTAAGAAAGGATATATCTCTGGGATTTGAAGACGTCTTAGCCCCATCCCCCTTCCCTTGTTGCCTAAGGTATGAGCCAAAGCACATTTTGCTCAGGGTTACTGGGGTCTACTGGGCAACCAAGGCAGATGGATAAAGTTATGAGATGCTAATTCCTACTCCGCTTTGGAAAATTTCCCTGTGATTATAACAATCTCTGGTTTTATTTTTTTTTTCTGTTTTGAATCCCAAACAGATCCCTAAAGAAGTGGCTGACATCTTTAACGCCCCTAGTGATGATGAAGACTTTGTCGGTTTCGGAGATGACGTTCCCATGGAAACCCTCTCATCCGAGGAGAGCTGCGATAGTTTTGACTCACTGGAGTCAGGGAAACAGGTACGGATGTTTCCTTTCAAGGCAGGCGTGTTGGGCCGGAAGCCTGGATCTTGGTTCAAGTATCCTTTTCTCTGACCATGGTCTGAGGTTGGTGATGTCAGTTCATTGCCCAGCATTTTATTTCGTAAGCATCAGGCCTTCATGTTTCAAGAAACTGGTGAGAGTACCTCGCTCACTTTTGCTGTTTAAATCCTTTTGTACAGTAATTTTTTTTTAAATAAAGGGGGCCTCACATGATCAGATCCATTTTCTCGGGGCTGCTGCCTGTGGCACGGCTGGATTCAGAGGCCCCTACGCAGCTGGCAGGGGAGGGCTGCCTGGCACAGCGGCACAGCGATGTCCACAACACAAAACGCAGCCCTGGAGTGTGTGGTTACCGTGGGGCAATTGCGTCCCTGTCCCCGCGGCGTGGTTCTGTCCGCACCTCCCTCTTGGAATTGCTGGGAGAGCATTTTCCTTTCTGTAATCACTTTTGATCTGTGGCACACGTACGTTACAGTTCTCTGAGGGTGAGGTTCCTGGAGGTTTATGTTGTGCCTGAACAATTGTACGCCCCCCCCAAAAGATCTAGCCTTTTCTCCCAGGGTCATTGTGGCGCTCAAAAGTCCTCCTCCTCCCTCGACCATGTGGTCTCTCGTTAAAGGCTGTAAATTAAACCCACCTTGCTTCAACTGGGCAAGTACTGGAAGGGAAGCAGTTCATTCCTCGGCTGGCCTTGGTGGGCACTGTTCTTTCCTAGGACATGGGTTCCCTCTCTGTGGGCCTCACCTTACTTGTCTCCACAGCCTTGACCCCACCAGCCCCGTTTCCACTCCCCTGTTCTCTTCCTCTCAGTTGCACCTCTTGTTCTTCGTTGTCATCTCTCCTGTGTTTCCTGTCCCCGTTCCTGGGTGTTCTCGAGGCTTTGTCTTCAGACTTTTCACTTAGTGGTCTCCGTGGTTGGCCTGGTTTCAGCTGTAACCTCGACATTGGAAGGCTGGGCTTCTCCCTCCAGCCCCAGAAGTACCAGTATTTCTGACTGCCAGCGGACCGATCCTGATGAGTCAGGGAGATCTGGAACGCACCCCTGCCCTCCCCGCATTGTCTGTCTGGCTTCCCCTTTGTTTTCTCTCTTTGGTGTTCTGGACCCTCCTTCTCTCCTATCTCCCTGACTTCCTTCCAGGAGTTAATCTTCTCTCCTCCATTCCTTCCCTCCCCTTCTTTGCAGCTCTTAGCTCAGCTGTAGAACTGACCAAGGCCCATAATCTATCGCCTAGTATTGATTTTTAAAAATAACCAAGGAATCCCGGAGAGCCAGGAGCGGTGCGAGGGCTGTAACCTAGAATGCAGCAAGGCTGAGTGGCATGCATGTTTGCTTCATGCAGACCCACGTTCCAGGCGTTTCCTACACCCTGTGGCGTAAGGAGGATAGGCGCCTAGGCCTTGGTTTAGGACTGTGGCTCAGTTCTTTTTCTCTATCAGAACTGGACACCAAAGATACTGATCTCTCCCAGGCTGACCACTGCCCTGTGAGGCCAGCTCAAAGGCTAGCAACTCCAGAGGACTGGACGGTGGGAACTCACTGCTGTAGGGCCTGGCCTCTTCAGGCTCTAGGCCTGGGTGTCGGAGCCACACCTAGACTCCTTGCCCCAAAACAGCCTGCAGGGGCCGGCTCTGGGCTCTAGGAACCAGATGTTTCCTGCCCTCGGAGATAGCAGGTTTGTGGTGGGTTTCCCCGGGAGCCAGCCGGGCACCTTTCTTCCTTAATCATAAATCCTCGTTTGCTGCTTCCACCCCTCCCCCCCCCAACTCAGATCCATGTTAACCATCTGAGAGGAGCCGCACGAATTCGAACACAGTATGTGTGGCAGTGCTGAGTTTGGTCTCTGAAACACAATTTGAATTTCACTTTAAAGAAACTTCCCGTGTGTGCATGCGTGTGTGTGTGTGTGTCTCTGTGTGTGTATGTGTGTGTGTGTCTGTGTGTGTGTGTGTGTGTGTGTGTGTGTGTGTGTTTTCCAAGCAGCTGCACCACAGCTATCAACAAAGGAACAAAGTAATTAAGCTCTGAGCACACGCACTCCAGTTACTCACAGTAATTCATAGGAGACATTTTTTTTAGCTTAAAATGTGCTGGAAATAGGCACTTTTCTCTATCCCCTGTAAGTTTTTCCACTTGTCTATTATATCTGTTTTTCTCCCAAGATTATCTGAGCTCAAAGACGTGTATCATTACACTCAGGCAAAGGCATGGGGGCAGATACACATTCTCCCACCACACGTGGTGTGAGGAGGGGTCAGCTGCTCCGCTGGGGGAGGAAGGAAGAGGCGTCAGAGGCACCTGGGGCCCGGTCCCCAGCCCTGGTGCCAGCATGGAGGAGGCTCTTTGTGGGTCTCCTTTCCGAACTGCATGCTTGCTTTTCCCTTCTCACGTCCAAGCAGGCCACTTAGAAAGCCCAGTTTTCTTCCTTTCATTAGTTCAAAAGGAAGAAAAAGTCTTTATTTGAAGATGACCTTTTTTAAGAGTCAGTTATGTAACAGCTTTCCTTCTGCTCGCTTGCTGCCTGGGCACTGCTGGGGGTCGTGGAGGGTGGCAGCATCCGTCCATCCATCCGTCAGTCCCTGTGGCAGGGGGTGAGGGAACCACTGCAGTCGCTCAGCGGCGGGCAGGTGGGGAGGCAGGGTCTCCGGCCCCTTCTCTCCTGCGGAGACGCTGTGGTCTGGGAAAGGCAGGCGTGCTCACTGCCTCGGAGGGTGGCTGTTAGAGAGGAAGGCCCGCCTGGGCGGGAGCCAGGTTTCCCCTCACAGCTTCTCCCCATGGCTTTCTGGTTCTGTGGGAAAGCAGGCATCCTGATGGCCAGCCTGGCAGGAGATGCCAGCCATGCTGATCCGTCAGACAAGCTGATGGAGGCTGCGGACAGGGAGTTTTTGAAATCGTTCAATTCGTGGGTTTAAATTTCTGTAAGCTGCAGAAAGTGTGTGTGTGTGTGTTGTGGTAAAACATGCATAACCAAATTTACCATTGCAACCATTTTTACTTTTAATTTTTATTTTAATTGATTTCAGAGAGGAAAGGGGAGGGAGAGAGAATCATTGACCGCTGCCTCCTGCACGCCCTCTATTGGAGCTCCAGCCTGCCACCTGGGCATGTGCCCTGACTGGGGATGGAACTGTGACAACCACTGAGCCACACTGGTTGGGCGTTACCGTTCTGAAGTGCAGGCACGCTTCTGGTTTCTTGCCAGCGAGACACTAGGTGACCTTAGATGCGTTCCGTGTTGGGCAGCGGACACCATTATCTGTTTCCAGAATGCACTCATTGTCTCAGACGGAACCGCTGCACCCATTAAACAGCTCCCACGGCCCTGTGCCCCGGGAACCCATTCTTCTCTCTCTCTCTCTCTCTCTCTCTCTCTCTCTCTCTCTCTCTCTCTCTCTCTGATACACATTCTCCCACCACACGTGGTGTGAGGAGGGGGTCAGCTGCTCCGCTGGGGAGGAAGGAAGAGGCGTCAGAGGCACCTGGGGCCCCGGTCCCCAGCCCTGGTGCCAGCATGGAGGAGGCTCTTTGTGGGTCTCCTTTCCGAACTGTATGCTTGCTTTTCCCTTCTCACTTCCAAGCAGGCCACTTAGAAAGCCCAGTTTTCTTCCTTTCATTAGTTCAAAAGGAAGAAAAAGTCTTTATTCGAAGATGACCTTTTTTAAGAGTCAGTTATGTAACAGCTTTCCTTCTGCTCGCTTGCTGCCCGGGCACTGCTGGGGGTCGTGGAGGGTGGCAGCGTCCGTCTGTTCGTCCGTCCGTCCGTCCCTGTGACAGGGGGTGAGGGAACCACTGCAGTCGCTCAGCGGCGGGCAGGTGGGGAGGCAGGGTCTCCGGCCCCTTCTCTCCTGCGGAGACGCTGTGGTCTGGGAAAGGCAGGCGTGCTCACTGCCTCGGAGGGTGGCTGTTAGAGAGGAAGGCCCGCCTGGGCGGGAGCCAGGTTTCCCCTCACAGCTTCTCCCCATGGCTTTCTGGTTCTGTGGGAAAGCAGGCATCCTGATGGCCAGCCTGGCAGGAGATGCCAGCCATGCTGATCCGTCAGACAAGCTGATGGAGGCTGCGGACAGGGAGTTTTTGAAATCGTTCAATTCGTGGGTTTAAATTTCTGTAAGCTGCAGAAAGTGTGTGTGTGTGTGTTGTGGTAAAACATGCATAGCCAAATTTACCATTGCAACCATTTTTACTTTTAATTTTTATTTTAATTGATTTCAGAGAGGAAAGGGGAGGGAGAGAGAATCATTGACCGCTGCCTCCTGCACGCCCTCTATTGGAGCTCCAGCCTGCCACCTGGGCATGTGCCCTGACTGGGGATGGAACTGTGACAACCACTGAGCCACACTGGTTGGGCGTTACCGTTCTGAAGTGCAGGCACGCTTCTGGTTTCTTGCCAGCGAGACACTAGGTGACCTTAGATGCGTTCCGTGTTGGGCAGCGGACACCATTATCTGTTTCCAGAATACGCTCATCGTCTCAGACGGAACCGCTGCACCCATTAAACAGTTCCCACGGCCCTGTGCCCCGGGAACCCATTCTTTTCTCTCTCTCTCTCTCTCTCTCTCTCTCTGAACTGTGACAACCACTGAGCCACACTGGTTGGGCGTTACCGTTCTGAAGTGCAGGCACGCTTCTGGTTTCTTGCCAGCGAGACACTAGGTGACCTTAGATGCGTTCCGTGTTGGGCAGCGGACACCATTATCTGTTTCCAGAATGCACTCATTGTCTCAGACGGAACCGCTGCACCCATTAAACAGCTCCCACGGCCCTGTGCCCCGGGAACCCATTCTTCTCTCTCTCTCTCTCTCTCTCTCTCTCACGTGTGTGCTTTTAATTTAGCAGGATGTGCGCTTCCGTTCCCAGTACTTCACAGAAGAGCTGAGGAGAATTTTTATAGAGGACACCGACTCGGAGACAGAGGACTTTGAGGGGTTTACACAGAGCGACCTGGGTGTAAACAGTAGCCCAGAAGGAAAGGTAATAATGAGCCACACGAGGGCGTGTGGCCATAATAGCTCCCGTCCTGTTTCTGAATTCTGTTTTTACTTGGAAGAAGTCACTTCACAAAGGGAAAGATTTTACTTGTTCTTACCTGTTTATCTCTAAAGCCAATTAACACAATGTAAACGCTGCCATTCCAGGGTGAATCCCTGGTCCCCCAGTCCATTGTTCTGGAGTTTGGGGGTTGTGTCTCAAGTGTCCCTTAAGGTCCTTATCAGAGACTTGCTTGGGGGGTCTGTTTGGGAGTAATGAGGTCTTTAAAGTCATTACTTCTTGTGTGTGAAGTAATGCTCTTGGGTTTGTAGTTAATTTGGCAGAAGTCATGGAGTCTTCCCTATGCATTTTGACTTGGAATTTTTTTGATGTGCTTTGTGGTGATGTGTGGGTTTTTGTTGTTGTTGTTGTTTTTTGGCAGAGAGAGGGAGGGTGAGTTTAGAGAAACATCGATGGGAGAGCAACATCGATCGGCTGCCTCCTGTACCCTTGCTACTAGGAATGGAGCCTGCAGCCCAGGCATGTGCCCTGACCGGGAATTTAATCGTGACCTCCTGGTTCATAGGTCGGGCTCACAGGCCGGGCTAGCACTCCCATTTCTATCTGGAGATGAGTCTTAGGTCCCGCACACCATTTTCTTGGACTGTTCTCTGTGTTACTGGCATCCAGACCTGCCAGCTTGGCCGTTCCCTGTGCGGGAGCCCAATGGGCAGTGCTTTGCGCCCAGCCCCATGGTCTGAAAGGAACGCAGCCGGCCAGTGGCTGAGAATTTGTGTTCCTACCCAGTTCCCAGGCGGTGCAGGTGCTCCTGGGACCACCCTGAGCGGAAGCGCTGGTCCAGGCTGTAGACCACGGAGAGAGTCCTCCTTCGAAACTCAGCTCCGTGGGGGCAGGGTGCAGCTAGTGCCTGCCCTTGGGCTTGATCCACCACAAACTGCTTGACTGAAAAGCTCAGGGGAACTACTAAGAAGAAGGGGGAGCTTTCAGCTATTTAATTCTTTCCTAATATAAGGTCTGGTGGTTTTAAATGTGTCCTTTTGAAAGTCTGTTACAACATCTTTGTTTTTTCCTCATTTTGTTAGCTCGAGGGGTCCGGTTTGAGCGACGATGGTAGTGAGGCATCAGTGAGTGAGGAGGAGGGAGATGACGAAGAAGAAAAGGCTACGCCCAGAAGAAGCAGGCCTAGGAGCAGCATTGGTCTCCGCGTAGCCTTGCAGTTCCCCAAGAAACTGGCCAGAACAGCCGACGAGAAGAATTCTGCTGAGCCGTTGTTTTCTAGCTCTTGCTCACAGGACAGTACAAAAGCCATTCTCCGGAGAAAGAAAAGCAGCAGAGAAGGGAAGGAAAGGGAAGATTCGGCCTCAGAGCCCGAGGATGACTCCAGGGACGAGGAGAGCTCGGACGCGCTGCTGAAAAGGACCATGAACATCAAGGAGAACAAGGCCATGGTAAGGCCCCACCTGGGGGCGGGCACCTGGGGGCGGGCACGGGGCTCCGGCCAGGCTCACAGGCTGCACCCTGCCAGCTCTGCGTTGGCTTCTCTTAGGAAATGTGCTCGGGGACTCTGCATCCTTTCTCTTTTCCTGAACCCCAAGCAGCTCTTCCCTGGGAGCTCTGGGTTGGGAACAGGAAGAGACTCCACTGTTTTTAGCCCCCCTACCCTGTGCCTCGAGCTCATGCCGCTTCCAGTGTGTAGAGTGAGGTTTTGAGCCGAGAGGAGCTGAACCACTGGCCCATTCCCGGCAGAAGGAAGCTGTAAACGAGGTGTTGGAAGCCCACTTAGGAGTGGCCGTGGGCAGGCCAGGCAGGCGTCTTGCAGCCCAGAAACCTGTCTCCTGGGATCGCCTGCTATGGTTTCAGGACATTATCTGAAGGAATGAAACAGGTCTAGGTATTAAAACAAATGGAACTTTATTTTAAAATGTCTTCCCTCGATTAAGGGAACAAAGCGAAATCTGTGTATAGTTTTTCTGCACGTGGTCGGTCAGTGACGGTTGTTAGTGTCATAATTTTGTATATACAGAATTTTAAAAATCCTACCACGCATACTCACTTTTAGCATTTTGGTGTATGTCTTTAATATTTTCTTTTAAAGAAGGGTCATGTGTAATGATACTGTATATACAATCTTATATGGCAAATAAGTTACCCAAGAAAATAGAAAGCTTGCTTTTGGATGAAATTTACCCAGGGACACATGTCTTATTATCAGCTAAGGGGAATTTTTAATACTGAGTCTGTCTGCCTCTTTAAAATAAGAACTAGGTTCTGCCCGACCTTTTAGTGATTCCCATCCATGTGTGTGAACCTAAAACTAAAAAGAATCCTAGTGAAATGGCACGATTGGCATATTAACGGCTGTTACTTGTTCTTAGGTGTTTATTTGGAAATATTTTCGGAATTTTTACTGATGAGAACTTTGGTTTCTTAGAGCTCTAAATAACTGTCAGAATGATCTAGTTCAGCCATCGCCAACCTCTAGTTGAGCCTTTTTGTTTTGAATGTGAGGAAACTTGGTTCAGGTGTGCAAACTGGTGTCCCAGGCCTCACTGCTAACGAGGGCCCCGGTCATGATGCTCCAGGCGTTGGCCATTCCAGGGCCGTGTTCATCTCGCCCTGCCCTGGTACAGGAGGAGTAGGCGGAGGTTTTATTACTGCGAGTGATGATCCTGGCATCTCACCTGTCCCCACGAACATCTTTACATGTGAGGTTAAAGCAGTGGTTCTCAACCTTCTGGCCCTTTAAATACAGTTCCTCATGTTGTGACCCAACCGTAAAATTATTTTCGTTGCTACTTCATAACTGTAGTGTTGCTACTGTTATGAATCGTAATGTAAATATCTAATATGCAGGATGGTCTTAGGCGACCCCTGTGAAAGGGTCGTTCGACCGCCAAAGGGGTCGCGACCCACAGGTTGAGAACCGCTGAGTTAAAGGGATAACAACTGTTAAGATCTTATGTAAACTACGTTAGTCAGGTTTCTCACGGCTGCAGAACTGAAGACTCGTGATAAGGTGCTGGGTGAACGAGACTTGGGAATCCTTATGTGCCACCCTTTCTTTGTTCCGAACTCCAGCTGGCTCAGTTATTGGCGGAATTGGATACGGTGCCTGATTTCTTCCCAGTGCGAACCCCGAGCTCGGCTTCCGTAAGTGGTGCTCCTTTTCATGATTTATTCCGATTGCCAGGCGACTTGTATTCCAGAAGGCACACGCCTATGCTCTTGCTTTCAGAAGAAGAAAACCGTGAGGCGGGCCTTCTCGGAGGGGCAGGTCCCCAGGCGCAGGAACCCCACCCAGAGTGCCCGGCCGCCTGAGAAGTTCGCCCTGGAGAAGTTCACCGTCTCCGCCGCCCAGTTTGCAGAAGAGTTTTACCGCTTCAGGAGAAGGAAGACAATTAGTGGGGTATTTTTTGACCTTAGTAGACAAGTTACTTTGTCTAAGCCAGTGGTCCGCTGACACAGGTGTTAATCATAGTCGCTGCAGGCGATCTGCAGCAGCTGAGAATTGGCAGTTTATGAATTCCCAGGTGGTTCTCCTGCTAACGGCGGCGCCAGGGAGAGCCCTGGAAGCCCCAAGGAGGAGCTCGTGGTTCGGAGCCCCAGCTGGATCTCCGGTGGAGGCAGCGCCAGCCTGGCCGAGGCTCTGGCCCGCTTTGGGGTTTTGCTTGGGGGAAAGGAAAGAGAGTCCTCCTAGCGACCTAGCCTCTGTTTTAGGACTGAGGCATTTCAGGTGCCTTCAGGCAGGAGGGAGGAACTCTGGACTCATCCCATTGGTGGGTTTGGCTGTTCGTTGTGGTTAACAACGTCCCTGTCCTCAGAGTTGCCGTGGAAGGAGCTTGACACACCTCAGTGAATGAAGATTTCAGAACAGAAGAGGGACACACAGTGAACATTAATTAATGGTGTTAGAACTCTGAGAGTGTGAAATTTAAAAAAAATGTAACCCCTCGGCATATCTAACGCCAGCTTCCGCTCCGTCTCCTCCCACAGGGGAGGTGCCAGGGCTATCGGCGGCGGCATCGCGTATCTTCCTTTCGGCCCGTGGAGGACATCACTGAAGAGGACTTAGAAAATGTTGCCATAACTGTCCGAGATAAAATCTATGATAAAGTTCTGGTAAGTTCGATAGGACGACAGGGCACATGACTGGGATTCTCACTGGGACTCCAAGGCACTAGGATTTGAAATCCTGCATTGTTTGTGCACTGTGTCTGGGCGTACACCCCAGACCCTCTCCGCAGGGCACCGCGTGGGCTCTGAATTGGAGGGTCAGCTGTAACCGGGGAAGGGGAGGTGGCTCGGAGCAGGAATTCTCATCAGAGGAGAAGTTTGTGTGGAGGGAGGCAGGGGTATCGTTTAGAAAAACATTTATAGTTGTTCTATTTTGAATATATACCTTTTTATGTTTTAAACACTGAAAAATATAATGTGCTTTTTGGTTAATATAACCATAGAAACTAAAGTTTGAGAGACTCTTTGGTAGGAGGTGGGTTAAAAGTTCCTCTCAGTGGTAAGCTCTGTGGTTATAGTTGTTCTATTTTGAATATATCCCTTTTTATGTTTTAAACATTGAAAAATATAATGTGCTTTTTGGTTAATGTGACCATAGAAACAAGTTTGACAGACTCTTTGGTGGGCGGTGGGTTAAAAGTTCCTCTCAGTGGTAAGCTCTGTGGTGTCTGCACACCTTGTAGATTGGGATTAGGACACGGTCGCAGGCAGTATTAACCTGTGAGGCTTTCCCAGTCACCAGGAGCCAGGTCGGAGCTGAGGGATGCTGTCGGGGCGCATGGCACTCATCGTCACCTGTCCCCCTTCGTGGGCCCTGCCCCTCCTGCTTCTCTGATCATTTCTTCCAGGCTCCCTGCTCCGTCTCATCTGCCCAAATATGCTTCTCTGGCCCCAGAACTAAAAGTGCTTACAGGCTACCGAGGGTGCCATGGTCTACTTGCCTCTAGGAGAGGGGCAAGTGCGGCTTTGTGCACAGCAGCGTGGGGCCCTGTGGACATCACCCTGTGAATCCGTGCTCAGCCCTCACCGCCTTCTCCCCTCAGGGTAACACGTGCCATCAGTGTCGGCAGAAGACCATCGACACCAAGACGGTGTGTCGGAACCGGAGCTGCGGCGGCGTGCGGGGGCAGTTTTGTGGGCCGTGCCTGCGGAATCGCTACGGGGAGGACGTGAGGTCGGCGCTGCTGGACCCGGTAGGAGCAGCGTGCGCATTTGACATGAGTGGTATTGGGGACGGGGAGCCTGCCGGTGGGGCTCCCTGGGCCCTTTGTCGGGGACCAGTAGCTGCAGAGCCCTGAACCCTCTCCGTTCTCTCTGCATCTTAAGATGCGGGGAGAAATGAAGAATAGGGTTTCCTTCTGGAAAGGGAGCAGCAGGCTGACCAGTGGATAGGATAGGAGACAAGGCTGCACTGGGCTTTCCAGGGTCAGCCGAGCTTTCTTACCGTGGTCGGGTTCAGCGAGGCACTGCTTTCTGTGTGCCTGGCCCTGCTCAAGGTTTCACATCAGTTAATGCAGCTGACTTTATTTTGGTTGTTAACTCATTTACCCTTACGAAGTAGGTCTATAACCTCCCTATGCCTTGCTTCCTTCTGTAAAATGAGTAGCATGGTTGGTACGTCTGACCTGGAATCGGGGGGTTCTGTGCTCTTACCCTCTTGTACGGCAGTCATAGGGGTAGATACACCGTCATACCGTCCCTAATTTGCAGATGATTATAAACTTCCACCCAAGTGATGTGATTTAACAACAGGCACACAGATGGGAAGTGGAAACATGAGCATTCACACCCAGGTCTCACTGGCCTTTTTCACCAGAGTCTACGGTTATGCTAGCTGGCCCGTCTAAAACCAACATCTTTCAGTGTTTGTCCATATGTGATGTTGGGTGATCAAACTTTCTGGGCCTTTTTGAGAGGAAGGAGACAGGTTAGATCCTCCTCCTCCCCCCTGTGACAAGTATGAAAGGGTAGCAGTTGACTAAAGCCTGGAGGAGAGGCCGCTGAGCCAGGCCTGACACCGCGGGCCGCCTGCTGTCATCTCCTCCTAGGGGTGGATGTGCCCTCCCTGCCGGGGGATCTGCAACTGCAGTTACTGTCGGAGGCGCGATGGCCGCTGTGCCACAGGGATCCTCATTCATCTGGCCAAGTTTTACGGTTATAACAACGTCAAGGAGTATCTGGAGAGGTGAGTCTCACAAGTCCAAACGGGTGGCAGACACTCGAGGCAGGTCGTGGTTGCCTCGTTGCAGGCTGATTCTTACAATCCACCTGGGATGTAGCTCTGTGCATTGGAGACTTGGGCCTGATGTTTTCCCTGTTAGGAAATTTCCTTCTTTGCTAGGATTTTCAACGTGGGGCTGCCTATGTAACACAGAATGGAGTGTATGAGGCAGCCTCGACCCTACTGGGCAGAAAGGAGAGGTTTGGGGGATGTAGGACGAGGAGATGGAATTGTGGTTCCCAATAAACTTGAAAAGCACAGTTTCAGAATGAGACGAACCCTAGCTGAGGCCTGCCTCCAGGGTCTGCCACCAATGAAGCAGGAGTCAGGCCTGCTCAGGGCTTTGTGCTCCTCCCACTCCTAATCACATTAACCTGCCCCTTCCTTTTTCTCAGCTTACAAAAGCAGCTGGTAGAAGATAATTAGGAGGAAGAACCACCAGCCAACTCACCTTTGTGTATTCCAGCAAGACATGCCCTATGTACCATTTGTGCCTATGATGTCTTACAGTTGTGTTTTTATAAAGAAGTTCTTTGTAGATCTAAATACTACTTTTTGTTAAGATTGTTTATATGCTTACAAAGATATCTCAGGAAGACAGCTAAGCACCTTGAGGAAATCTTATATACACAGGTGATTAGAAAGCACAGTTACAGCGCAGGTAAGTTCCAGAGAAAACATTGTATAAGTAGCTCTTGCCTTAGACACTGTTTACAGATGCTGCCTTGACCTTTTACCTCCCAATTAGTAACTCTAGGCCAAGTTGTTACAGCACCTTTAGTTTACCTTATCCTGACCAATCGTTCAAACTACCTGGTGTATCCTGCTCTAGGTGATTGGAAATTTCTATTGCAGAATGTTCCCCTAAATTACAAAGTGCAATTAACCGCAGATGAGAGTACTAGAGTTTTCTGTTTTATTAAAACTTGAATGAACAAAAAGTGGACTGTCACGTTACCGACACTGGAGGCCTCGTAGCGTCCGCCTCTTCTTTCAGGATTGCCTGCTGCCAGTTGCTTCTATATTTTAAAAGAATGTAAGAGCTAATTTTTAATTCAAAAAAGATTTTGTTTACTTATCTTACAAGAACTAAAATCCCTCTTACTGACCAGGAGTCTTCCAACCCCTTTGTTTTCGAGGTGGTATTGTCACTGGGAGCTTCATGAAAATGGGAGAGACACTGTTCTGGGGAAAGCTAAAAATTCATGAACACGTTCCGACTAGGTTTCCAGTAATTCTTCCTACGTTAGCCTCTTCCTTTTCCCCACTTTTTAAGGATGGTGTTTAAGAAAAGTTAATGCACAGTTACTTAAAAGTTACAGAAGCTGGAATGTTTTATGCCTCTCAGTAGAATAAATGTGCAGGAGAACAGCGCAATGACAATGAAAAATCCTCACTGTTCGCCGGGCCTGGAGGAGTGAGGTCCCGTCTACGCCTCCAGCAGCAGAGCCACGCCTGCCAGGACCCACTTGGCCGTCTTCTCTTTGCTCCTCAACCTGAAGGTCCAGATGTAGTGGGGGCCCCTCGTTTTGGTTTTGTACACAGGGCACTCATAGGTGTGTTTGGTTTCCTGTCTGTCCATGGGTATGGCTTTTGCAAAGATGACTGGCATCGCCGATGTCAGCTCCTTGAGGCGGGCTTCCGCAATGGTTCCGGACTGGGTGTCCCATCTGGCTCCTACAGCAAAGAGAACGCAGGGGGGGACGTGTTGGGCCGCGTCTTGTAATTGTTACAGGCAATAAACGTTCCGGTTTTGTCACGTTACTGCTTGTTGGTGACTTTCTGAGTGAGCTGGGCCAGGACTGAGGTACGAGAGGGAGGGTAAGATCCCTGCCAGCCACGCACACACGGTAAGCAGACCATTCATTGCTCCTGAGCTTAACATCTACACTCTTAGGAAAAGTAAATTTTATAAAAACAGATCCTATCACAATCCAGACACACTAAAGCAGTGGTTCTCAACCTTCTGGCCCTTTAAATACAGTTCCTCATGTTATGACCCAACCATAAAATTATTTTCGTTGCTACTTCATAACTGTAATGTTGCTACTGTTATGAATCGTAATGTAAATATCTGATATGCAGGATGGTCTTAGGTGACCCCTGTGAAAGGGTTGTTCGACCGCCAAAGGGGTCGCGACCCACAGGTTGAGAACCGCTGCAGTGAAGCAAACTAGTCTGCCCTCCCTGTAAAAGTAACGTGCATTTGAATGCTACAGAGTAAAAGAAGCCTCCATCCAATTCACCACATTCTCTCCCCACGGCCCCTTATCTTACACCTCGTTCAGGTACCTCATTCCCATCACCTGCCCTCAAACACGTGTACATGTGGCACTTGTAAAAGGGCATTTTGGCCAAGACTAGGACAGGCATTTCTGAAAACGTTCTTCAGGTACAAATGCATAGCTAAATAAAATTAGAAAACATTGCATACTCCTCCCCTTAGAGCAGTGGTTCTCAACCTGTGGGTCGCGACCCCTTTGGGGGTCGAACGGCCCTTTCACAGGGGTCGCCTAAGACCATCGGAAAACACACATATAATTACATATTGGGTTTTTTTAAATATATTTTATTGATTTCTACAGAGAGGAAGGGAGAGAGATAGAGAGTTAGAAACATCGACCAGCCGCCTCCTGCACACCCCCTACTGGGGATGTGCCCGCAACCAAGGTACATGCCCTTGACCGGAATTGAACCTGGGACCCTTCAGTCCGCAGGCTGACGCTCTATCCACTGAGCCAAACCGGTTTCGGCAATTACATATTGTTTTTGTGATTAATCACTATGCTTTAATTATGTTCAATTTGTAACAATGAAAATACATCCTGCATATCAGTTATTTAAGTTACGATTCATAACAGTAGCAAAATTACAGTTATGAAGTAGCAACGAAAATAATTTTATGGTTGGGGGTCACCACAACATGAGGAACTGTATTAAAGGGTCGAGGCATTAGGAAGGTTGAGAACCACTGCCTTAGAGGTTTACAGTGTGCATCAGCTCTTTTAGAGGCTCGGAGAAGTCTTGCAGTAAAAAAGTGGTGGAAGAAAGATTTTGAATTGATTATATTGAAAAGCAAAATAACTTCAATTCATTGTAGGTTGTAAATGATCCTGTGGTGTTAACATTAGATACATGAGCAAATCTAAGTGAAAGCCATCACCCCAGATGCCTTAAAATATGGCTCACGTTGGATACACATCTTGGCATTTAATTTTTTAAAAAGCAAGAAATGAGGTAAATACCCACTAACGCGAGCAAATACTGAGAAAGAGTAAACGAAGGGCAAACACTGACTTGAGTGAGAAACAAAGGTCACTCCTCCCTTGCACAGCCTTCCCCGCGCTCCGCGGGGCCTACCTTCCATGAAGAGCCCGTGCAGATAGGCGCCTTCCCTTGGGGGGTGGCCGTAGTCTTCCTTGTTTTTTTTGGTCACATCAACCGTCAGGCACATTTTATCCAGCGGCCACGCGTTTTTTCGAGCCGTGGTCTGCATGATTGCTGTGGGAGGGGAAGGCACAGAATGAACTAATGTTGTCAAGTTGGCCGTAAGGTTCCCAGGAGCCACCAGCAAGCTGAGCATCTACTGAGGCTGCCCTGGCCCCGCCAGTGTCGCTGGGTTCTGTGTATTTGCGTGTGGCCACATTAGAGCCAGGGCTGGTACACGAAGGCCTGCAGGACAACCTCGCGGCTTTTGGAAATGAGCTTTTACTGGAACAGCCGCGCCCATTGGGTCAGTACTGCCCGGTGGCTTGGGCACTGTCGTGGCAGAGACTGTGTGGCCCTGGGCAGAAAACTGTTGCTGGAAGGAACCACATCCCACCTCACTTGGCTGCTCCTGGGCCTCCTTCCCTTTGCTGCTGTTCCCCTGCCCGGAGTGCCATTTCCTCTGTCGCTCCTGCACCTTTTCTGTAATGGCTACCGCGTGAGGCACGGTGAGCAGGGCGGGGAAGGCTACTCACGGCGGGATTTCTGCTGGGGGTGCGGTTCTGTGAGCAGCAGACCTTACCAGTTAAGAAGGACTGAGGGTTGAAGAGGCCAGAAAGCCACACCACAGCTGGGAGGGCGAGATCTTGTGTCCAAGTGTCCAGTTCTCGGCATCGCAAGAGGAGGTCATTAAACCTGGTTCATAGAAGGTAGGAAGAAATCGGCTTGCTTTCTATTTTTAGTAAGACAGACATGTCTCAGTGAGATTGTCAGTCAGCTGTGGGGAGGAGTGGGTGGTGGTAGCCAGGCACCCCACTGAGAACCAGTGAAATCCTTACCTGATGATTTGCAGACTGCTGTCCCTTTAAAGGGGTTAGATTTTTTCCAGCAGAGATTGCGTATCTTACAACTGTTACTATTAGGGACAAGAAACACCGGGGAATATGGAAAATTTGTCTCCATTATCCAGCAGTTAGTTAGCTCCTCTCTGTGCTATGTGGTGACTGTACACAGGTGATCTGTAAGTTCTGGGCTGACAGGTGCCGACATGGAGCAGGGAGGTACATGCAGGGTGCGTAGGAAGACACGGGAGAGACCCCTCACATGTGTCGGGGTGGGGAGGGGAAGGCTGCGATGATTGTTACTAGACGCGTGTTGCTGGGAAAGGCAGAGAGAGGAGTGGAGCATTTGACAACAGCCTTCCCACACGCGATAATTACCTGAAAGCAGGAAAGGTTATTGTGAAGTTGTTTTATCCATCACATGCCTGGGGTTTGAGAAACTGCTGTTTTCACTCAGGTCCTTGCCTCTCAGCAGCAGTTATGCAAGGGAGGAAGTACCTGCAATTTACCTCTGAGGAAACGTGAACGTCTTTGATAAAATTAGGAGACACGTGAAACCTTGAGTTGGAGGTTTAGGGAATGTTAGAGATGGTGGGGAAACAGCACAGAGAAGACAGCCCAGCGGAAAAGCCAGCAATGCAGTTCTCCAGGGTGAGGGCCACTCCGGCTGGCCCTGGATTTTTCTGGGACCTGGTTTGGCTCAGAGTTGCAAGGGAGGCAGGGCCGAATGGGGATCATCCCCACGAACGCCCTGCAGGAAAGGTCTGCCTGAGACCTGGGTCACCAGAAGGAAAACTCCCGCTAGCTGAGAACACGGCCCAGTGCCCTGCCCCATGTTAAAAACCCCTGATGTAGGGAAAACATATGAGGCTGTATAACACAGGAAAAGGGCAGGGGATGGGGAAAGCAGGGATGGAAAAAGACTTTAACAGGTTGCTGCAGAGGATAAATACTACAGCCAAACAATCTGCAGTAAGTTTTGTTTTGTTTTTTAAAGGGAGTGATTCCTTGTATAAACAAGGTCAAGGATTAGAAGTGATTGGGTAAGGAAAAGGAAATTAAATCGGAAGAGCCCAGAAGTAGAAAAAACTGGTAAAAATAGAAGCAAAAACGATGTAGCATAAGGTAGAACAATTTCAAAAAGCAATAAATGGAAATAGAAATATTGAAAATAAGATGAAATTTGAAACAACAAATATTTACTAATACCGTCCTAGGAGATTTGAGTTCCAGCTCAGGCAGCTACCAACCACAGACCATTTGTAGCTCCTACTGGGT